CATTTCCCCCCCCCCGCAAATTACGCCTTTGAGAATCTCATCCGTGCGTATGGAAACGAATATTCTTGTTTTGTACTTATATGTTCCCATACTTGCACCTCACACTACAGGCCACATGAGGGCAATGCGCAAGGTGCTAAATAATGGCTGTCCAAAATGCGGGTCCTCCGAAGGCCGAATATGTTGGCCGTATACGTCACAGCGCCGCGACGAAGGCCGTCCAAAACCAAAGACTCCTGATGCGGCCGACAAATACGTCCTTTTTTTTCCACCCCGATTTGAAAGACAGGTCTGGATCCTTCCCGGCCCAGCAAATGCATTGCGGCCCGACCGGAGATTATTTTTAAAGCTAGTAATGGCGTACGAAGTGAGAATAAGTTTTAAATAAAAATAAAGCGGTATAGATTAAAAAWTTTTTAGCGGTTGTAATTCTAATACTTATCATTTGCATAAATGTGTTTTTAAATATTTTTGTCATTAAAACTCAATCATACACCTACAGCTGGTCAATTAATTCTTCAAATGTTAAATTAATTTTGTTTTGTGATATTAAGTCTATCATTTTTCTAATTTTGATCTATTCTTGCTTCTGTACATGACGTACGCCGGGGTGGAGGGGAGGCTAGACCGTCCAAATTCACAGCCCCGTCTATCAAGGACCCGGCCCACCTCGACAGAGTAGTCTGGGTCCTCCGGAGGACCCGGCCTGTYGTTTTGGACACAGCCTATACCGCTTTTGACCCAAAAGTAAAAACAAGGGCTGTCGAATGATTAAAATTTTTAATATATTAATTCCAAGGTAGCTGTGAGTTAATCACGATTAATCTTAAACTTAATATAAAACTAAGTTAAATTTCACAATATTGTAAAATCAGAAAATAGTTCATTAGGTAATGCTGTCGAATAAACATTGCAATTTGAGTTTTGACCCCGGAACTATTTAAGAAAGCTCCAGTTACGTCGGACATATTTTAAAAAGAACAAAGTGGGCATGCGCAGTAGCGCACTAGGGGCCAAAATGGGAAAATAGACGACAGTCAACTTGCAGTTGGATTTTCATATTGTTAATTAGTAATTCGAACGTTTGTTATAGTTATCTTCCAACAAAGCAAAGCTAGATAATAAACACATCCTTATTTTGTGTTTTTAGCTAATTTTGCTTTCTCGCGTGACATTATGAGCATGTTTTCCTCCCAAACCTCGTCGTTCCAAGATTCAATCGACGTGGAGGAGAGAGACGACTTTGACAACGAAGASATTTCTGGTTTCGGGCCGAAAGTCCATCTGAACTGCTACTACACCATCTACCTTTATCRGGGCACCAGGTATTTCTGTCTGGACACAGTCGCTTTTATTAATCTTTATTTACTGTGCTGTTGTAAACATTATTATAAAATGTGTTTTTACTCTGTATTCTCTCTCAAAAACACTTAACAGGTAATTTTTTGGCATGCAATCATTGTTTAGTCCCTGATCTGAGTTGTGCTGCCGGAGTTGTTGTTTTGCAGATAAATCCTCATTTGTGCATGAAAGTTAAAGCAGGTGATGAGTAAACTGTTGATTGTCGTAGATCTGAGTCCTCTGGGGAAAATGGGGCATGGAGCCAGAGACGTGCAGACTCCACAACAAGTCAGGATGACTTTAGGTAACACAGGAGCCATCTGCTCACTTCTTCTCGCTCTCAGTGGTCGTTTCTCTTTGGCTGTCACTGCCCACTCAGTCAGTGTTTCCRCGGGCTGCAGGGGGTCTCATCAACACGGAATCAATGCTGTCATCACTCGTGGCTTTGTTTTGGTTCATCTTTCATGTCTGGCYAAGTTGCATTGCTCTGAGCTTCCTGTCTGTCGGAACAGTGAATGAAAGCCTTGAGTTTCTGAGCACAGTGTTGTGTTTCACATGAGGTACGGTTAGTAACGGTTTCAGATCAGTGACTCGGGTGTGTGGTGTGTGACTGCCGGTCATCAGCTTCCTTCATCTCTTTTTTTTCAATGGCCATCACCTTCACAAGCTGCTTGAACTGGCACTGACCGTGTGCTTCGCCCACAGTTTGACACTGATTGACAGCAGCCTGCCGTCGGAGGCAGAACCTGAGCTGCGGACCTACATTTCGAGGAGGCTGAGCAAAGGAGCCTTGCTCGGGGGCATGGGCAACATCGCCACCGTGGACCTGAGGTATTCATGTTTCAGACTTCCAGGCAGCGTTTTGGAAACAAAAACTTCAAGTCGACACAAACCAAAGTCATGTTTCTTAGATTTCTTTACATCTGTTGTTTATTTAGGGTAGCAGGGAAGAAAAGTTCAGAGTTAAAGGCAACATTTGTCTCTTTGCAGTATTCCAGAGCAGGCGGTTGGCTGCTACTGCTGCCTCCTGGAGCAGGAAAGATCTCCTGAACAACCGGACGCTGATGGAAATGGATACGTCATCTGCTTCATGGGGGGATCAGAAAAAGGACTGAATTTATATCTTTTTTTTCTGCAAGCAGACAAAGCTACAGGCAGCATTATAAATCGGAACTTGCTCTATAAAACTACTTCATATTGTTTTCCCTCTCTAAATAAACACAAAGACGTTTTGTTTTAATTCTTTGACCAAAGACACATTTAGATTAGAGCTCGATAAATACGTCCAAGGTCTGCACGGCAGCCTCCAAACTCCAGAGGTACGAAGACATAACACGCTGTAATATTATTTTTATTGTTTTTGTTACTGCTGCATCAAATTAACTGGTTTTGTGTGTTTCTTTGCAGCTGCAGAACCTGGAGACAGAAGTGCGTCCTTACCTGAGCCGGTGGTTCGAGGAGTCTGTGATGCACATTCATCGAGTGGTGCAGCTGGTTCAGAGCAACATCAGCTTCCTGCTGCATGCTGTGAGTCGTTGGTTTGAGCTCATCTACACGCTTTGAGTGTTTTTTTTAACTTSTGTGGAGCTTCTGGAGGGAAATTTCTGGTTGTAACTGTGTGGATGTCAGAGAGGTGACACGGCTCCTCCCCTTCCTGTCAGAAGTTGTTGTTGGTGCTTCCAGAGGCAAGATTCAAACCTGGGTTTTTTTTTTTTTTTACTTAGGAAGTTGATGGATGAGATTTGAGCAACAAGTTTGTTTGTTTTTTTCAACCCTGACCTGCTCAGACTGACACATGAAAATATGCTTTGGAAGATTAACAAGTCCTAATGTTTASCTCGACTAAAGCCAGTTAATTATAAACATTTTCACAGTTATCAGTATTCAAASCAACAAGCTGAGGATTAGGAACCACCTTTTTATGATCCTGAGCTGTTTTGCTCACATTTCAGTCTCCACTCTTGTTTATTTCAGTTTTTGTTTTAACTTTATTTACTGTATATATTTTTTCAATCTAACAGCTTTTTGACATTTAACAGACATTTGGAAAGCTCTCAAAATTTATGAGATAAAAATAAATTCCCACATAGAAGTGGCTTTGGATTTTTAAACATCTAATTTCCATTTTTTTATAACCACCTTCATTTTTACACTCATGTTTACGAATCAGTTGTAACGTTAATCATTTTAATGAAAATAACTACTCTTCTGTAATTAAACCTTCAGTCTTTGTTCTCTCAGCCGCCTCATCGCTGTGAAAATCTTTTAAATCTTTTCTGCTCACATTTCAGTTTCTGATCTCAGGCTGTTCTACTAACACACCATRGACTTAAATATAAAGATCACTAGACTGAGCCCGGCCCATACCGTCCACTGGTAACAYCTGTGACAGCATGGAGGAGCAGAAACAGACCTAACAGGACAACAGCTCACAGCCTCCATAGAAACTAATAGATAAACAGCAGCTGAACTGGATCTGTTTCACAGATTATCTGTCACGTTTTTACAATAATATAATAATTGTTAATTTCATTCAACAATCATGTAAAACNTTTAAAATTCTTTTACAAACTGTTTTATTTACAAGAATGAAGCAGGTGTTGACTGACACACAATGTTTGCAGTCTTTCTTTATGATAAGTGAGGATGTCAGGAGAAGAATCCACTGAAGACTTAATCAGAAAATACCATTAATCTGAATAAAAAGACATTTGCTAGTGTATGTACAACTCAAGTTATGCAACGTCAAAAATGTGAAATATTTTAAAAGGATTCAGTTTAGCGTCCTCTAGTTTTTAATTTTACATATTTTTTATGTTATTTTGTATTTCTTGTTGTGAACGTGCATCCTTAGAGAAGAATGTTTTAATATAAATTGCCTAAAAGCACAACAACTACATGGAGAAAAAGAGCCTGAGGATCTGTTTTATATTTGTTTTATCTGTTGTTTATATATGAAAATGGTATTGAATGTCCTTTGTATTGTACGTGTGTCCAGTCTGGGATATTTTAATCAACCTTTCTGTTTCACATTATGACCCAATCGGTCACAAGGTAAAATGAGCTGACCTTGACTTTTGTTTGTGCACTGCACGTGCCTGCAGTCTAAATCATGCATCATCACCCTTCCACAATATGGCATTCATTTAGTCCCATTAATCATTTGAAATTAAAACAGACTACAACTTTTTAAAATATATTCTCCTCATAAATGCAAAGCAATAATTTCCAAAATGACTTCCACTTTTATCAATGCATCTCTAAAAAATGTCTGCGTATGTCAAGATTTATAGCTGAGATGTGTGATCTGTGTGCCTTGTCCTTCTGCTTTGACACCATGTAAGAAGAGAAATAAATTGTGTGAACAAAAAAGGAAATAAGAATGAATAAACCTTGTGTTGAGGAACGTTGTGTAGAATTGTTCAGAACTATTTCAACAATCTTTATTTAAGAACCAGCTTAAATAAAAATAATAATAAATGCAATCAAGAACAGACAGAAACAATTAAAACTTTATTTTTCACATGTGGATTAAGTAGTCTAGCTCTTTGAATTTCCTAACTTTGAAGGAGTTTAATCCTAACAGGACTGACAAGCTAACAACTAGTCCAAGTAGGTTCAACCCCAAGTAGATTAAAGCCATAATGAAACAACTTCACTCACAAAATTTTCATTGATTTTTATGTTTAGTGCTATTTTATGAACCTTTCTACCACTATTAATTTAGAGTTATTTATACAGAGTTATATGGTGATTTTCGCTCCGAAGCACCTAGCTCACATGTCAAACTCAAGGCCCGCTGGTGACATCCATCCGGCAAGCCAAAACCAGCATTGACCATAAACTACATCTCCCATAATGTATTTCACTGCATTTTTGCTGTAGCCCAGCTGAACTGGTTGTACAGTTAAACTGTAACACACCTCCAGTGGGAATTCCCTGTTGGACAGTGGGAGAGTTCAGAATTCAAGATGGCGGCTACTCACCACAACTCAACAGTGAGCAAAATGATCTTACTTTCACTTTCAATTGTATTTTTGTATTATTTATTTCACTTTTAGTCAGTCAAATAGTACCTTTCATTATTTTTAAGAAGACATGTTAAAACACTGATTCTATGCAGGAAATACCAGGTAGAGTTCAGTTATTGTTTGTTAGTGGTGCTCAGCCATATGAACATTTCCTGCTTAGTCCAAGTTACACACAAAATGTTGAAGTGAATTATAGCTGGCCCTTTCAGGGCCAAAGGTTAACACCCCTGCTCACACTTCCAGCTAGATATTGATGATATTTCTGTTGGAATAACTGTGTTCTGCTAAACTGACTTGGGTTTATTAAAAAAAAGTTTGTATCAAACTTTATTACACTTTTAGAATGGGTGTTAATATTATTATTATTATTATTATTAATAGTTTTAATGATTTCTACATAATCAGTCCTTTTTTCTGCTCTGTTGCCAACCTGTACAGTAATGGGAAATCCAGAGTTGTTTAGCGTTAGCCTTTAGCTTCTCCAGCCGATCACACGCTCACGTGGTTTCTGCGCACTCCAGTTCTATAGAACACTGAGTTCTTCAACACRTTTATCTCTGCTGGTTTAAGGCTTTCACACATTCATACCTTTAATTCTCAGTGAACTGCTCCTTTATATCCACATTTACTATGTGACTCATCACRTCAAACCAAAGTGGTTCGTGGAGAAATAGGCAGCTTTAGTGCATTGATTAAAATGTTTGTAATAAATACATTTTGCCAAAAAACAACAAATAAATATGTTATATATGGATCATTTGAATGAACTCAGAAAWATAATCTTAAAGGATTTTTTGATGCACTTTTTTGGCTCATGTTAGTTACATTAAACATGATTTTGAGCAAAAAAGCCTTAAATTTTTGTCCTTTTTCCTRTGAGTTAGTAAATATCCCCCTCCCCCCCAACATTACTATTTGAGGTTTCCTCTTTATAATGATGTCAAAAATTCCTTTGAATAATTTAAAAAAAGKWTTCAGACCAAATATCAATGGGTTATTGTAATTAAGATGACAAATAAAGGCATATCTCTGTCACCAGAGATGTAGCTTAAAAGGCCAGACAATTGAAAATGTGCTTAGATTATTTTGCCCAAATTTTACTTAATACTTGATGTGATGGATCACATTGTGTAAAAAAAAAAGTTACCCTAAACAAGTAATTTAGTTTAAACTTCCTTCATACAGGCTCTGAGTCACACACGTGTGGAAGTCATCAATTCAGACGAGAGGACAAAAGCTGACGTGTCCAGGTGAGTTACACAATAACCATTCTATCACACGTCAATATTTAGACAATTAATGTGTGTGTGTGTGTCCACTGTTTACCATCAGGTTCATCAAAGCAGCCAGTCTGCAGGGTCTGTCCCAGCAGGACACCACATCAGCGTCTCTGTGCAAAGCCGTCTCAGAGGACAGGCAGTTTGACCTGATCATCGACTGCTCCACCAGCCCGCCCACGCTCACTAACACAGGTAGGTCACAGTTCAGGATATGCACACACACCCTGTTGTTTAGGAGCTTACTAAAGTGTCAACAGGCTCATCTGTGAGGTTATATTTGTTGAACATCCTTTAAAGAGTTTAATAACGATGCTGTCCTTCAGTCAGTAACCGATTCTGCGATGGCTGGATTCAGGCCTTTCTAAACGCTGCGGAGCGCTGCAACCCCTTCCTGCTCCGACAGATCCTGGAGAACTTCAAACTGAAGGTGAGGATCATCCATAGACGTATCCGCTTTACAGACACGGTGCRTGAAACCCATTTCTCCTTTCTGCCGATCCCTGCAGGCCATCCAGGACATGAACGGCCTGAAGCGCTTCGTGCGGCAGGCCGAGATGAGCCACTACGCCCTGTTCCGCTGCGCCCAGTTCCTGCAGAGCTGCGGCAACGGAGACGTGCTGCTGCAGAAYGCCAGAGCGGAGCACAGCGACCTGCCCGAGGCCTGCAGCATCATCGGCGTCCTGGAGGAGTTCCTGAGCGAACAGTCAGGCCTGACCGAGTCACACGCAGCTAAACCAACTCTACGAAGCGTCTGAAGCTGACAGACTGATTTATAACAATTCAGTTCTAAACCTCACAGATAATAAGGCTGAAGTACATTAAGCTACAATTAACTTATGGTGTAAGAAGTGATTATGTTCCGTCAACTTCCTCTTTAAAATGTGTTTACCGTCACTACACTAACATGAAGGATGTTTAGTGAAGTCATAGCAATGAAAATAATCTGTGAAATTCACTGTTTCAACAATTCTGCAGTTTATGAAGATTTAACCAAATATTTACAGCATGACCAGAACAAAGAAATGACACTAAAACTGATTATTTGCTTATTTAATGTAAATATCATGCTTTAATCGTTCCCTGCATGTTATTTATCAGTTTTCTTTAGAGATGAATGCACAAATCACTTTATGCATTGCTTGTTACGTAAGCCCTGTTTTGGATCAATGTCAGTTCCGAATCTTAATTTTATTTCATAAATTTTTGTTTAATSGCTGTGTTAATGCAGGGTTGTGACTATGCTGGATATTATCAAAACTTTTTTTTTGAGTTTTTGTACATTTGCTTTATCTTTATTCCTAGTGGAGAAAAAAAAGAAGCTTTGATTAAGAAAACTTTTCAAAAATGTAGAGTGAAATGTTAAATACAAAGTATAAACACTAGACTAGCTAAGTCATTTTCATTTAATTCAGTCCAAAGTACATAACGGAGCAATAGAAATGTTTTAAGCTGTGAACTAGATGACATGTAAATAACTTTTGTTGTTGTAAAGCAGAAATTGATCGCAGTGTGTGTGTTTAAACACTTCCAGTGTCTTTGCAGCTATAATTAGAGTTGAAATAAACACATCAAACCTTCATCACATGGTTGTGAGTTTCTTTAAGCCCACAAAGTTTAAAAAGGAAGATAAACATATTTACATAAAAAGCACAGTAAAACATTTGTAATGAACGTGTAATAATCTTAAATATATAAAATAGAAATACATTTAATTTGTCGCTGATCTTCTTCACCAACTGTTCTTCATATTTTCCAGTAAGTTTCTTCTGAGTTCTGCTCATCTGCAGCAACAACATAAAAAGATGAGAATGCTTTGTTTTTATTGCACCTGCTGCAAACACACGTTTAGTAAACTAAAAACATGTTCAACCTACCATCAGTTTGATCACAGTTCATCCTTAAAATACAGCTCGGCACGTCGTAGACGCTGTCTGTAGGGTTGTAAATGAAAACATTTCTAAAAACCAAGAGAAAGTTTCATGTTTTTGATAAAAGCAGTTATAAAAAGTAAACCAATGGTTTGGATCATACGTCACCTTGAGGCTGAGCGGAGGGCTTGTAAGACTGAGGGAAGTCGTAAATGACATCATGCGTCTCAAATAAAGGGTCTAAAAGCACAAAAACACAACTTTAGACATCTGCATGTTCTGTTTTTAAGAGTCTGGGTTATTTCAAGTGGATTTTTATACTTTTTCTGGAAGGTAAGACGTCATAAAGGTTTTCTTGTTTGTTGTTTCTGCAGCTCAGCTCGCTGGACGACTGAGGATGAGCGACTAAAGAATCTGAAAACGAGACGATTAGAGATCAACCAAACTCAACGTGAAGGGGGTTGTTGTGGTGAGGGGTTACCGTCGGGGGTCCTGGACTTAAAGGGCCGTTGTATGTTTTGGTAGGTGGCCTCGTCACTGTCCTCCTCGGGTGGAAGGGCGGGCGAGGTCACGCCCCCCGCCTCGGAGTAGATGTGCTCCGAGGAGGAAAAGGTGGAGAGAGGCCGAGCGGGCACCACCTCCATCACGCTGTCGCTGTTCAGCCTGTCGCGCTGGTCGTAATCCTCAAACCTGAGGAGGACGAGGAGGAGGAGGAGGAGGGTGGTGAGGTAGGTGACCACCTGAGGGGAGAAGAGAATGAAAAAAGTGTGGCTTACCCAGAGACTCCAGCATCAAGAAGACCTGAGGAGGACAGCTGCATGGCCTGCCAAAGGTGTCCAACCCACTCTTTTCTGAGAGCTTCTGTTTCTGCTGCCTAAATGCACACACACACACACACACACACACACACACACACACACGGTTAAGAAGATGGTTGCAGACCCACCGCTGTGAGCTGAGATTAACCCACAGCAACAACTCACCAGCATTTTTCTCTTTCCGTTGGTCATGATGATTTCAAACCAGAAGGGCTTCCTGTCCGTCCTCTGGATCTCTCGCACCGACTGCACCTGCTCCAACAGGTAATAAATCAAAGTCATCAAGGCCGAATCAGCTTTAAGAAATAAAAAAAAGCAAAACAAAAGCACCAACAGTGGGGGAAGTACAACCACAATGAGGTTCCAATGACACGGGTAAAAGTTCCTGCGAGCGTGACTTTACTTCACTAAATGTGTCTGTGAAACTGTGCAAAAGGTTCAGGAGGCAGAGATTCTGCTCTTTTACAGTAAGCAGGTGGAAAACTGCAGTGCAACAGCATGAAAATAAAAGCTTTCTAAATAAACTAAAACATTTTACAAAATAAAACTGAAAAGAGACATTCAACTACATGTAATAAATGCAATCCCCCCCACCCCCAACATTTCACAAAGAAAACACGTTTTGGTTTTTACACATTTTGGCATTGAAAAATCCCAAAATACAGTTCACAACATGGTTCAAGCTTGTGTTTTATAAACTTTTAACCCACTAAATAAAAGTTGCGATGGTTTCATGATCTGTTTTCACCTCTTTGTAGAAGTTACGTGTAAATATGCTCCTGTAATTATGTTTTTTATTGTGGTGCTTCATGGTCCACATTAGCACCCTGACCCCATCACTGGGCATTTAAGTGTCTTTGTGGGGGAAAAAAAGAATGTTTTTGACCAAATAATCAGGATTAAATCCTGAAACTACCAGAATCCACAGACACATGCTGGTGTGCATTTATTCACAAGAATAAATAAAAAGAAAAATAAAAGTTTTTCGGTACTTTATCAAAAACACAATGTAATTTTCTTTACAGCAGGGTGGGCAATCCTGGTCCTGGAATGCCGCAGCCCTACATGTTTTAAATTTTCCCTGCTCCAACACACCTGATCCAGTCACTGAACTACCTCTTCCAAGTTCTGCAGTATGGAGGACCGACACTGACATAATTATAAATAAAAGCAGRAATAAATAAATGAACTTTTAAATAAATAAATGCATTTAAAATGCACCAAATAAGTTAAAAAGCAGAACTGTCCCTCATGTTTTATCATTTAATTGACCTTCATATTTATTTTTTCCAGCTTAGTTCCAATAAATTATATATTTTAACACATAATTTAAATGTTAATGTTTTTTAACATATATTTTACAGTTTTTCCTTTTACTTGTATGTGCATTTG